GGTGTCGGGTTTTGGGGACTCATGGGGCTGGCTCTGGGGTGTCAGGGGGTTTTGGGGACCCACGGGGCTCGCATGGGGAGTGGGAGGACTCACGGGACTGGGGGGGAGGTGTCAGGGGTCTGGGGAGGACAGCAGGAGTTAGGGAGGACAAAGAGGACTTGGGATGTGTCAGGAGTTTGGGGTGGCTCGTAGGGCTGAGGGGCAGCCTGCAGGAGCTTGGGGGGGTCCTAGGGCTGGAGGGGTGGTGTGCAGGGCATAGGAGGAGGGCTGTGGGGGTTTGGGAAGGACCATGGGGCTGGGTGGTAGGGTCTCCATCCCCCAGCCCCAGCTGGAAGGCTGACCCCAGCTCTGTTCCTGGCTGTCCCCGCAGGTGGCTGGCTTGTCGCCTGGCTGTCACCTGGTGCCGGCAGAAGCTTCACGCGGAGCTGAAGATTGGCTCCTTCGGCTTCTTCTGGGCACAAAACATCAGCCTCAAATTCCAGCGGGAGCAGCAGACGGTGGTGGGTACCTGGGCGAGGGGTGGGGACAGGGCGATAATGAGAGGTGACACTGCTGTCACTCCTAGGCTGGCAGCAAGTCCCTGCAGCCAAGCTCCTGTGGCACAGCCCCATAGCTGATGCCAGGCCCTTCCTCCCATGGCCAAACTTGGGGTTTTTGGCTGCTCCCCATATGATGCCAGGCATTGGGAGCGGAATGGGAACATTGGGATGAGCACCACAAGGCAGGAAGAGGTTGTTTCTTCTCTGACCTTCCTGTCTATTCTTGCAGGAGATTGACAACGTTTGGATCTCCAGCAAACTGAGCCGGGAGCTGCCGTACGTACCCTGCCCCAGCTCCCTCCCTGTGCTCCTGGGGGGTCTGGCTCATCCCTGGCCCTGCTGACTGTGATTCTGCTGCCTTTACACCGTTCTGCAGTGCCCATTTCCCCGTGCTCTGCTCTGTGTGGGAGTGAAGCACCCTTTTTCGGGGTGGCAGCGTTTTGTGGATGCTCCTGTGCCCATCCTATGTGTCTCAAGGGCAGGGGGCATCCCTGGCAATGGGGCTGGATGTGCCATGTGTGAGCTCTTGTGCTGGTCTTCCACAGACGCTACTTTGAGCTGTGTTTTGGCGAGGTGCGAATCCGCACAGATCTCCAGAAGGGCCCTGGGCTTCAGCCATCCATCCCGGAGACTCCCAGAGAAGCTGATGGAGATGACAGCAAAGCAGACGTGACTCTGAAACCCTCCCTGCTGAGGCTCCTTAGTCAGGTGAGGCGCCGGCTCGGTGAGAGACTGTTGCAGGCTACCTTGCTGTCAGACATCCCTCACAGTAGCACCTTCCCCCCAGCTCTTTTCCATCCACATGGACTCCATCAACATCATGGTTCTGCACGTGGCCACCTCAGAGTCTCTCTGGCACATCCAGGCCAGCAAGACCCGTCTCCTCCTGAATGGCAATGGGAAGAGGTAATGCTGTACTCGCATCCCGTTCTGCTCCCCCAGCCCAGTCCTGGGGGTCAGGGAGGCTCCTCTGACCCCAACCAGGCTCCCTGGTGTCTCACCTCACTCCATCCCACTCGGCAGCATCCCATGTCACCTGTGATGTGACACATTAACCTCCTCTGAGGCTGGCCTGGTGCCTTTTCCCTTCATAGAAAACTCGAGTTGTGTGTTCTCCAAATTATGAGTTGCTTTTAGGGTGTGCTCTGCTTTTGGGAGGACTTGAAGCAGGGACTTGGGGTCCCCATGTCCCACAGAAAAGGGAGGGCTGGGGCTTGATCTGGGGACAACAGGACCTGCAACCTCCATCTGTTCTGTGCTCTCCCCAGCCTGACCTGCGAAGTGAGCCTGACGAAGGTGAACAGCAAAGTGCTCCGGAGCAGCCAGCTGGTGAGTGCTGGGGAATGGAGAAGTCCAACGCTTTGGGCCTGGGCCTTGGCTCTGTGGGACACCCCAAGGACCTGCTCCAGCTCATACCCGAGGCTGAGCGATGCTGCAAGGCTCTGTGCTGTGCCCAGCGCTTCACCTGCAGTGTCCACAAGCAGGGAGGTGGGTGACTCCCTGTGCACTCCCTGCCTGTGTCCCCGTACAGGATGACACCTGCCTGGCAGAGCTGGCCCTGGCGCTGTCCCTCTCACTGGAGATCAGCAGCAAGCGGCGGCTGGTGGGGGTTAGGCTGCGCGTCCGGACCCTGCAGGCACAGCTGCACGAAGGGCTGTTCTGCAGCCCGCTGCTGCACCGCGTCACTGCCGGGACCCAGCGCAGCGGCCCAGGCGAACAGCCCAGCCCAGGTTAGGAACAGGGACAGGGACAAGCCTGGCAGGGGCTGGCAGTCCCCACGCTTGCACTGCAGCCAGAGGGATTTGGCTGTGCCAAATGTGGGGGTCTGGGCAAGAGCATCCCTGTGACTGTGTGTCCCACTGCAGGCCCGGAAGAGCCGCTGAAGTCCGTGTCTCTGCTGAGCAGGGACATGCTGCAGCTCATCCCCAGAAGGGTGGAGGTGAAGCTGGAGAGCACCAGTGTGGTGCTGTCTATGAACAGCCAGAAGAGGTAAAGTGGAAGGGGAGGCTGTCCTAGCTCAAGTCAGCACTGGACACAGGGACTTGGGGACAGCTCTACTGCATCCTGCTCTGCCCAACTGCAGAGAGTGTGTCCTAGAGTGGGAAGGACTGAGCTTGGCCTGGGGCCGGGCTTCTGGGGAAGGAGGGAGGCACGTGAGCTGGTTCTCCAGTAAGACAGCGTGATGGGATCCTCTGCTGATGGGATGAGAGCGCTGAGCTGGGCTGCAGCTGGGCACTGGCTGGCGTCTTTGTCTGTGCCAATGTGCCGGGGAGATGGAGGACATGACAGTGCAACTCCCTGCTGACAGTGACTTTCTGCTTCTTACAGGCACCTCACCTGGAGCCTGAAGCTGCTGCAGTTTCTATACAAGCGTGAAGAGGAACAGATCCCACTGCGCAACTTCACGCCCACCTCAGACCTGGACCAAATGAGTGTAGACCTCCAGCTGGAGGGCAAGTAGCCAGGAGAGCACCCAAGGGAAGAAGGTGCTGCCGTCGCTGCCTTCTGCCATTGCTCACTTCTGCTCCCCTCTCTCCCCAGATGGCCTTCTCCTGTCCCAGAGCCGCCAGCGCATCGTGTGCCTCAACTCCCTGAAAACCAGCGTGCAGGTGAGCGAGCGCTGGACATGCTCCTGTAGCCCGGGGAGACCTGGTTTGGCTCCTGGCACGAGTTTATTGCCTCCTGGCCCTCTCCCTGCTCTAGGTCACAGCTATTGACCTCTCGGCAGCTGTGCTGCTCAACACCTGCATCATCCACTACCGCCACCAAGAGGTTTCCATCCCCTCCCGCCACCAAGAGTTTTCACACTGGCTGGGCCTTTTGGCACAGGAATACAGGTGTCGGGTGGTGCCTGTCGCCAGCCAAGGGCACAAGGGAAGGTAAACTCGGCCTCAGCACAGCTGCTGCTATCGCAATTTGTTTCCTGCTGCCTCCCACGCTCTGACAGGGTGCCCCAGGCACCCAGCACCTTCTCTGCCCTGGGACGGGGAGGGTGGCAGATGGTTGGGGTTGCCCTGTGCAGTGCCTCAGTAACAGCCTGTCCCTGCTTGTCCCACGCAGGAGCTATCCCCAAATCATAGCGCCCATCATCCTGAGTGCCTCGCTGTCCAACGTCAATGTGTCGGTGCAGCTCGGGGACACGCCGCCCTTTGCCTTGGGCTTCAACTCCATCGCGGCAGGTACGACTGGCCCTGGAGTGGCTCCATGGCTCTTCTTGGGGGTCGGTGGCTCTGCCAGAGAGGCACCAGGACAGGGATGGGGACAGCTGTGTCCCTTCTATGCTTGCTCATGTCTGTGTCTGGCCAGGGGCTGTGGACCCCTGTCTGGTGGTGTCTGGGTTGTCTCTGTTTGGGGGCAGCTGAGCAGGCAGCAGCGAGCCCTGCCCACACTCACCCCCTTCTCCCTGCCTGCAGACTACCAGCACTTGCGGCCGCAGAGCGTGCACCAGCGAGCGGTGCTGGCTGTGGACCACCTCTGCTGGCGTGTGGGCAACGACTCACACATCCAGCGTGCCCCTCATCCCCCCAACATGCACGTGTGGGGAGAAGCCCTCATCCTTGACTCCTTCAACCTGCAGGTGAGGGGCAGCTCTCAGGGGGGTGGGCTGCCTCTCTGCAACTCCATGTAGGCATCACGGGGACTCGTGGTGGCATGGGGACATCCTGCAGCCTGAGAGTGACCATCCTGGTTGTCCTGCAGGGCAGCTACAACCAGCC